GGGGTGTGACTTAGTGTTGGGGCATACTTCACCCATTTCCCAGCCTCCCCGCCCTCCAGGTAATTATTGCACAGTCCCTTATGACAGTTGCGGCTGACACAGTTGCCCTAAACATAGGTTTTGAAGGGCTTTTGCTTATGGTCTTATCGATAATGATGAAAAAGTGCCAGTTCTTTTAAACAACATACCCAATTCAAGACTACAGTGCAAAAACCATACCCTATTTATTACCAAAACGGCTGAAAACCATACCCTTTGGGGCCGCACGCACCTAACCACGATAAGTGAACCACAACACAGTGAGCCACAACTTACAATGAAAAAGGAAACAATGTTATTGTTTAGAACTCCGGCAGAAATGTCCCAATAATAAGGAAGTACGAATGTTTCTATTGCTTATTATGTTAAATTTGTACTTGCTGCCATATGAGATTGTTATTTCAAGCGTGTTCGACCAGGGAAATAGGCCAGAGGTCACACCAGACGTTCTCTCAGCAGATTACGTGCTCTAAAGTGGTACTATGACGAAAATCGCATCTTTCTTATCAAAACGAGTTTTAAACGTAAACAAGTAATCTGTATGAGAAGAAAAATGCTGTTTACTATTTTCAAATATCTCGTTTCGTTCCAGAAATATTCCAGTTCTTAAAATATGCAAATTAGTCAAGTGATGACGTCATACACTCAACCAAATTTGATCAAATATGATGAAGAAAGATATCTCAGCCAATTTGTATCAGAAATGTTTGATTCTTTGCAGCAGTAAAATTCTGCTAAATGTGTTCCACAATACGGGCTTAACAGTTTTGTTTCCATGGCAACGTACTGGGTTCCTGACCTCCCCAATATTAGAATCAAACCAAGTGAAGCGTACGCCTCAAGGTTACATTAATGAATTGGTTATTTGAATATTAAACCCGCTAGTCGTTTCAAGAATGCAATAATGAATTGATTATTGGAAAACTGAACCCACTAGTCGTTCCAAGAATACGGCTAATGGGTTTAATGTTAAAAAAGAGTCAATTTAATATTGATTTTGGAACTCACAAGCGATCTACAGCGATATTGATATATCAATTAACAATGCAAATTGATTTTGCATAGTTCTTTACCCATGAAGTACTGTGCACATGTGCATAACACATTCAGTTTTTTTAGAACTCATTGCTCAGTATCAGTAGTAAAAATCAAAACAGGTCGAGTGTTCCACCAAAATAAGCTTGATGATTATTCGTAAATTATGATTGCTGTAAAAATTTGCGCTGTGTCACGCGCGAGTTGGCTTAAAAGCTGGTTCATTCTGTGTTTTACAAACCAAGCTAAAATTTTCCCATGGACCAGGTCCACGAAGTGGATCATGTTTTGACCCCCTATCTCTTGTGTTGTGTGACAGTCATGCACTAAAGTCTTTACAACAACTATCACAAAACCCACAGCATAATAACCAGGAAAACGACCAATGTAAAAACTTAACACCTACCAATAAGTGTTTTCCTCCAACATGGTTCGTACACTGTGAGCTATGGCTTTCTCTTTGGCGCTCAAATGAGAATCAATATCCACTTGGAATTCTTTGTTTAGAAACTGAATGCAGAAATTTGAGTCAACAACTTCTTGTCCATTGAGCTCGATCCATGGCATTTTCCCTTTTGTGGAAAACATTAAACCATATTCATTTTCGTACGGGATCTTTGTCATACGAAGGAAAGTTTCCAACTTTAAGCACGGAGGACTTGCACTCACCACCACATCGTACGGCGCAAACTGATGTAGGACAACTGTTCCTAAATTGGTGGGCTTCTCGCACTTTTGTCCCTTTGGAAGTCGCTTCAAGAGAAGATAAATGACAACAAATGCAAGTGCAGCGATGCCAACATATGGAACAGACGCTGAAATCTCCATGGTTGTTACTTTTCCGGAAGGCCGAAGTGCGCGTGAAGAGCCACAGAATCATTACAGTAATTTGCATCTGCCGAGTGTCGATATCGATGTCACTAATCAAGCATGACTTAGAGTATTAAGAAATGACTTTGATGAAAGACCGTACACCGGAATCAAGAGAGCGGCGGAAATCGAGTCTAACTAGCATGAGTGCACGAGACTAGGGTCGGGTTCTATTGGGATTAACCGTTTTAATCGCAACCGCTTTGGGATGATACGGTTGACGTTTCTCAATGGAACACTTTTCCAACCCTTTTCGGTTGAAACGAGGTAACTCCTGGGAATGCTCTTTCCACCGTTTCAACCTGCTTTGAGGCCGGTTAAGCAAGTCGATCAACCAAACCAACCGAAAACGATTTTTTTCCAATAGAACACGAAAAGAACCCACCCAACAAGAAATATAGTTGATCCTCATAGAACACGACCGAGGGGTAATCAGGGAAATGGGTTTAATTGGTGCTCTAGCCGCTGTAAGCTTGCAATGATTGGCTTTGTATGTGTTATATCTTCAGACTCTCGATTGCAGACCTGTACCGTGCAGAGATCAAGACGGGAACTTGGAAGAAGATGTCTAACAGTTCAGACAAGTGAACAGGTCACACAAACTTCATCAAGAAATCCGGGTCTGGATCTAAAGATGCTGATCGATTTCTTCCGTGCAGTTATCTTCCATTTTGAGGACGTTGTAGCATTGTTTTTCTTGTTTTGATTAGTTTGAGTCATCTTTGGAAAACTCGAAAATTCCAAGATGTGGTGGCTGTTTATTGTATGTATATTAGCTTACACAAATTTGACGTCATCGTCTTATTTTGGTTACCTTAAAGGCAACATTTTAAGCCCTCTAAGTTAAATTAACAGTTCTAAAATATTTTTGAGGTTCCGGCCGGATCGGTAGAATATTCGCGAATATTTTTGAACTTCCGAAGGGAGATTCCCCATTTGTTGAAGAGATAAGAAAAAAAAAAACAAAAAACGTTCTGTCCAAAGAGGAATAACTAGAGTTACGTAACAATCCTAGGGGAGCACAGCGATGAAAGCAAAATATCGCTGCATCAGCTACTAGGCTAGGTAATTAAGTTTTCTGCAAACAAAAGCAATTTTGTGGTTTAAGATTCCGAGACCTCAAACAAATCTCTCTACCCGTTTCCATATACTATGCTTTTGTAACAGTGGTAGCCTCATGGAAATCGTAAGTGGGAAAATCAGGACCGATAGACTATACAGCTGAGTGTCAATCATCTAGTGAGATCTAGCTATAAATGAAAAAAAATTAAAAATAAAAAATAAAAAATAAAATAAATAAAGTCGCGGATAGAAGGAATATATATACGTCCATGATTCAATACGTTTAATATGTTTTTCAAATATTACCTCTGTACAAAATGATCCAAAATGTTTCAATAAATACATTAATTTATGAATAAATGAATAAAGAAGACACAATTAATTCTAGAAAGGAATGCCAGTATTTCAATCACTTATAAAATGATCCAAAATGTTTTAAATAAATACAGTAATTTATGAATAAATGAATAAATACACAATTAATTCTAGAAAGGAATGCTAGTATTTCAATCACTTATATAATGATCCAAAATGTTTTAAATATATACATTAATTTATGAATAAATGAATAAAGACACAATTAATTCTAGAAAGGAACGCCAGTATTTCAATCACTAATAAAACGATCCAAAATGTTTTAAATAAATACATTAATTTATGAATAAATGAATAAAGATACAATTAATTCTAGAAAGGAACGCCAGTATTTCAATCACTTATAGATTTCCTTGAAATGATTTTATCCCAGTCTGGGTAATACAGTTCCTTCATTCTCCGAGCGTGACTTTCAAGATTTTTCGCTTTAGACTTTAAGAGTACATCAAATGGACTTTCTGGACAGTCCCAGGCGGACGCTGCAATGAAAGCAAACAGTCCCGCGTCTGCTAGACAAGGCTTTTCTCCAAACAGGAATTTATTTTCGCCCAAAATGTCCGAGACCGCAAGTAAATCTCTCTCGGCTATCCCGTACAGATCTTGCTCCGAGTGACGCCCAATGCCTTGAGACCAAAGGTCTTTTCTGATCTTACTCTTCACGCGGTGCACCAGAAGATGTTTCAGCGGAAAGAAAAGATGACCAAACAACTTTGCGAACAATTTCTTCCGTATGCTCGCTCCGTAGTTAGACAACCAGCGGCAGTGAACAAGGGCCCTGTGAATGGACATCAAAACAAACTGGTAAACATCAATGCACGGGTCCATGCGGCCATTGACATGTGACTGTACATGTGATAACAGATTTCAGCATAAACTTCCCCACCTACCACGTGTACATGCTCAGTTTAATTGTGCCCTACTGGGTAAACGACTTTTTACGTTTCCATTTATTGTTGTTCTGATCATTATTCTGTTGACAAGCCTCAATTGTTAACACAAGCAGCTCGAAACTGCTCTCTAATAGCTTCAAAAAGTAGGGGACCGATCCATAAACATACAGGAAATTATGTCGTTTCCCTTCTTGTGTTATCCGTAACACTTGGTACGTTATCAGCCGCATATCATGAAAATAACCAAACTTAAGTTTCAGACGATAAACTCGTGTAAGACTCGGGAGAACGTGATAGTACCCAATGATGCATGAACTATACTATTCATAGTTGGGTTGTCATACAGAACCACGAAGATAACAAGGTTAGCCGGTATCTCGAGAAAACCCAAACAACTTTAATTTCAAAGTCGTAGGTTGGGCTAGGCTAGCCATTTTTCTCGGGTTTTTCCCACCCTCCCGCTGTTACGATCGACCCCACTGACAGAGAACTTGGAACTGGCTAAAGGCAGCCTTCTATTTCAACCCGGCGCTTTATTATTCTACATGTACCCCCGGCCTTAAATCGAGAAAGTGCGACATACACCTACCAATAAGTGTTTTCCTCTAACATTGTTCGGACACTGTGAGCAATGGCTTTTTCTGTGTTGGTCAAATGAGAATCGATATCCACTTTAAACTCCCTCGTCAGAAACCGGATACAGAAATTAGAATCAGAAACTTCTTGCCCGTTGAACTCGATCCATGGCATTTTTCCCTTCTTGGAAAACTTCAAGGCATAATCATTTTCGTACGGGATCTTTGCCATGCGAAGGAAAGTTTCCAGCTTTAAGCATGGTGGAGAACCGTTCACTGATAAATCGGTTGGAGCAAACTGATGTAGAACGACTGTACCAGGCTTAATGGATGTCTTCTTCTTGTTCCTCTTTGAAATCTGCATAACTTCTAGCAGTAGTCGCTAGTCGCTTGTCACTGACGATGTGTGTTGTGAAAGGTATACTGCTGAAACTTCACACCTCCGCCTCAAGTCGACACTAAACGCTAGAGCTCTGTAGCAACCCATCTTATAGCTGCAATCGAAGTCCATATATGGTACATCGGTTACTTAACTGATAAATTTGTAAAACTACGCGATGATAAGAACATTTGTCAAACTTTTTCCTTGACATAACCACAATTGGGTGTCATGAGATAAACGGAACACGAACGGTGACCCGCTGGCTTCACGAAACACACTAATAACACCTTATAACGGATGAGCATCGACTCTTGCTTATAAACACTCGCCGAAAAGACAAAACTTCTTTAAAAGTAACACTTTTAAAACTCGCATAATATTGCTAGAAAAATTATTTTGTTCTCAATTAATTACGACAGAAATCCTGTGTCCGGAGCTTAGCGGAAGTGGGGAGAAGAGAACGAAACAAAAACATGGTCTGTACTGAAGCGTAATAGTGAGATCGAGAGGATTCTTCGGGAGGACGAAAGGGTCCTCTTGTATCTTGCTGGCTAAAATCGAACACAAAAGTCAAAAAAAAAAAAAAAAAANTTCTCACTTTTGTTTTTTGTACTCCTATAATTACTTGTAAGTAAGTTATGTACTGTAATGTATTGTTATGTCATAGGTTATTAATAAAACATATTAAAAAAAAAAAAAAAAAATGAACTTCTTAGCTCAAAAGCTTTCTGCTATTCAATCGAATTGTCCACTTTACAATATCATTTAGTAAAACGGATCATCGGCTAGTAATCCAGGAAGCGCAAGACACTTGTTAAGCCAAGGCGTGACCGGAAATGATGCTACTGGTGTGTTGAAAGTTCTGACAATGATCAGTTACGTACGTACACCAAATGGCGCATCTTGATATTCCACAAGGTAAGCTAGGTCTGAAATGCAATGCACCTTGGCATTACACTTGCCATATATAAGGCGCAGAAGTCCTTTTTTTATTTTGCTAGTGTATATTAATTTAAAGCTGCCAATTTTCACCTTGGTCTCGTACAGCTACGTTATCGTGACAAATGTTCGTGGCGTGATATGCCTCATAGTACAGTACTTCCGTTACGCTACTATACAGTCTCGCTTAAACGCACTTTAAAGTAGTTCCTTTTCAGAGTTCTTCCTTATTTCGCATATACAAGTACGACTAGAAAAGTTTTTCGCACAAACAAATTCGTCCTTTTTTAGTAATTCTAAAATGCGGATGCTACGCTTGCACGCATAAAATATCGTAACAAATCTTGATGAATATTTACATCCAGGGATCAGATTATGTGTTCATGAAGAGA